ACGAACGCGCGTCCTAGTAAGCGCGCGGACTGGTCCCAGAAGTGTATATAAGGATGGTAAAAAAATAAAGGAATTGCGACATTCGCTTGTTACCTTGATAATAAACGTTTTTCTACCGACAGACATCTTTTGATTATTAGACGTCAATGACGGCGATATCTAAATGTATCAAATTAGGTCTCTTTTTGGTCAATCTAGATTTGTAATCAAGTCGAATAGGAAAACAGTCATTTTCTGCAAAAATATTGTTGCCGCTTTGACATATCTGAATAGTTACAGAAGATACATTTTACCAAGTCATAAAATCGAAGCAGTTGCGGTGGCGAAACGAACTTTGAGCTAGTGCGGCCGTCATGCTTCCAGAGTCGAGCAACATGAGTGAGCATCGTTGTATGAACCACGTATTTACGTGACTTCGTAAGTGGGCTTACTTACTGCACATGTGCTATTTTTACGCACAGCGTAAGTCTAGCAAATATCGAAGTCGTTTTATAGTTGCTGCCAGTTCTGCTGCTCGCGTCAGTCGGTTTTCCGGTGAAGTAGCAGGAATTTCGCCACTCTGTAATAATTACAAGAAACTGCATTCTGAAAAAATATAGGTTTTGTTTTTGAAACAAGGCAATATGTTTGCAAAATATCTAGCTAATACTATCCTAATGAAGCTGCGCAAATACCTTTTTGTTTATCTGCTTGCTGCTCTTTTTTTCTGTAAAAGCGTGCACAACAATCATTGTACGCCGACTAGCCTCTTTTTTTCTCTTTTTCACTTAATGTTATTTTTTTGGTTCTGGACTTCATGTTTTCTTTTTTTCCTTACTAGCGCCTCCTGTCTTAATGCCTGCTTTCAGTGAGGCTGACAGTTCTGCTTGGATCCGAGTAATGCAGGAAGGGTATGATTAAAGCACTTCGTCAATGGTGAAAAGAGCAACATTACCATGCACCAAGGCTACTACCCTACCATTTTTCCAGATGCGTACAAGTCTTGTTTTGTCGATGCATAACAAACTTTGTCAAGATATGAACAGTTATTTCTGACAAAGTGGTGCTGGTGTGCATTTTTATTTACCGACATGTATAGTATGAGGACAGGAAGGCCTGCCAAAGGCTTTGTAATATTGTACGACATACGTGTGCCTAAAGTCACATTTAATGCAATTTATTTTTAGATGGAACATAACGGAATCTGCTGCAAGACCGGCAAAGCCTAAGAACCCAACGACTAACATTGATTTCGGTGACAGCGAGGACACTGCCCTCAGTACGACCTCCAGGACTTTCAGCGCTACGTCCAGTGCTTGTATAACTAGCATGGACCTGCTCTGCGTTGCCACTGCATTGGTGCAAGAGCAAACTGCAGACCAAATATAGCATTATGAAGTTGCTGTTTATATTTACACTAAGTGATAGCTGTGCACTGTGTATGCCAACTGCATTCACCATACTTGGTAATGACAGTGTTGAAATATACTGCAGCAGGGGGCAACATGACGGTATTTCATTATGGTAGTAGCCTTCATTGTGCCTAGGGCTGTAGCTGTATCAGATGCTGAAAGGGATATTTATTGTTGTTGAAGGTATGAATGAATGCTGAAAATAATATTCATTGTTGTTGAAACGTATTGATGAATGCCTAAAAATGTATTTATTGTTGTTGAAGTGTATGTATGATAGGAAATACCTGAAGTTTGATATTTGATTGCATGCAAAATGAGGTGTAACCAATAAAGCAAGTCTTTCTACCCACAAACAAGATTTCCTTGTTCAGTGGTAGCAGCAAGACTGCCTGTCACGTGTGCACTAATGAAGGCTCAAACACCCATATTACGCCATCTCAGAATAACTGACTTCAGCCCCAACACCATGATTGATCGCATCTTTGCATCCGGTCTCAAAGTGCTATGAGGTTTATCCAATATGTTAACCTTATATTGATATTTTGCATCGCGCCATAACGGTGTTTCATGAACTGCTGTTCCATCTCACACCACTGAGAATGACAGAATCAAAAGATGCTCTTAGGTGGAAGGCATAACATTGAATCTTTCATAAATTATACTTTTAAGTATCACAGTCACGTAACAGCACGAGCATGATGCTGAAGCTTCTGATGGAAAAAAAAAGAAATCACACGTATTCCTACAAGTTTTCCTGTTGAGCATCTGGCAGTTGATAAAGCATTTTATAGCACATCGAAAGTTTCATTCATTCAAAATGAATAAGGTTGTACTAAAACAGTGCAGACATTCAAGAAAGCCACCAGTTAGGTGATAGAAAAACACTCAGAGTTTTGCCACTTTTAAAGTTCACCATAATTAGTTCTCTCAAATTTTATGGTAACACGAATCGTAGCTGGATTTTGAGACTTTATTTTGAGGCAGCAAGTTGTTCTTTCATAATTACCAATTATGACTTGCTAAAACATTTATACCTAGAATGATATATGCGTTGTGTTGACCTTTTTCTTGTAAATGAGCTTCCTCTGCGGTAAGTAAATTTTCGCTGTGTGACTTGGTCAGGAAAAAAATAATAAAAAGAACTAGAATTTGTGATTTTCTTTATATACTGAACAATGCCGCTTTCTATAGTTATTACATGGATAAATATTACTAATTTGATTATATATTTTCTCTTGGTTGTGCAGGCCTGCCAGACTGAAGGTGCTGAGACCAGTGGACGTTCGGTTGGGATTCTGTGTTGCATGGACGGGTATGATAAAATAGCGCAGCTCTAGCACACAACTGTTTACGATGCAGGAGTTCAGTGCAGCCCTTAAACAACCTTATGCCACAGCGGGCCAAGTCATCGAACTTCGTCTTTCATCGGCTACGAAAGCATTAAGTTATGTTCTAAAGCCATTAGAGATCTCTATGGTGTTACATTAGAAATGTATGCCGTTTTATTTGCCCTTCTGCCTGTGGCTACTGATCGCTCGTGCGATGTATTGATGCATGACACACTATTCTTTTTTAATGAAGCTAAAGTTAGGAATTTCCTACTCATCACTTGCCGTATTAATTTCCAGAGGCAAAATGACCACTGCGAGTTATTTCAATAGCATGTTTCGGACACTGGTTACTGCAACTGAAAAAAATGGATGTCAATTCCAGCCAGACACATCATAAGATCTCTGACGCCCGATTGCGTCAAAGTGCACTACACCAATTGCACCATGACTATCGATTGAACAGAAGTTCCGACAGAGCATCCAGCTTCTGTAACAGAGCAGAGGGCACTTGATTCAAACTACAAGGGTGGCTGCACGCTCAAATTTTTTGTAGCAATCACACCAAGTGGAGGTGTGTGTTTTCATTCGAAGGTATGTGGTTGAAGGTCTTCCGATGCTTTTGTAACCGCAAATTCTGACTTCCTGAATAAAATAAAACCAGGCGACATGATCATGTCTGATAACGAATTTTGTGACATTACTGCCGATCTCTGGAACGCACTGGCTGTACTTGTTATGCCTCCTTTCCTCAGAGGCCAAGGCCAGTTCACTGTGGATGAACTTCAGCAGACTTCTAATATTTCGAGGGTACGAATTCATGTGGAGCGCATGATCCAGCGGGTCAACATGCACAATGTATTAAATAAACGCGTGCCGACTCAACTAATTCCTGCCATGTTCGATGTTTTCTATATGTGTGCAGTACTAAAAAATATACAGCCTCAATTAATAAAGGTGCCAACTGCTGCAGGCGCTTGAGTCAGCTGAATTTGAGCGTTTAAGTTGACTTCATTTCACGTGTTATATATGAACTTAACTATGTCATTTATTGCCACATTTGGGACACTATTGCGTGTATCTGTATTGCTAAAATTTATTCTTTACAAGAAAAAGATGGTATGAAATATAAAAAATGCTTGTCATTTGATATTTTGAAAGTATGTTCTGTTTTTGATGTACTACCTAATGTAGCTGCTATAAATGCTTGCACTGCACAACCTGCCACATTTCTGTACTAGCATTAGCTGTTAACCACAAGCTAATCAAGCAAGAGTACAAGTTTTGGGGAACATATGACCTCACAGGTCGAGATGTACAATGTTTGGAATACAAGTGTGTCCAATGATTTGATTCCTGTCCTGTGTGAATGTTTTGATGTTTGTGTACTGGCTAACATGTAGCATCTAATAATGAGAGAGTGAACATTGCCATTCATATCAAGGCAGCTGAAATTGAACATTTCCATCTTCTTTTCAAGCGTCAAATATAAATTGTCAGCTCTGTCATTCTTTTATCACTTATGGGGTTGTGCCAGGTGTGTCTGTATTGCTAAAAATCTGTCGAGTTCTATATTGTTTTACATTTCGTAGTCTAAAAGTATGTTCTGTCTTTCATGCACCACCTACTTTAACAGGTACACATGCGTGGACTGTGGAACCTCATTAAAGTATTTTTATTTGTAGATGAAATTCCTTTGCTAGCACAGGCTTTTTAGCAAGTACAATTGAAGGTGTGGAAATGGTGTGAGCTCAGAACTACTTTTCTGGGTTGTTTTTCGCAATTAGCCATATCATGCGTGCTTGATTATGATATAACTATAGTTTTTAGCTGAGTGGCAGTAAGCTTGACAAGCATTTCTCCTGTTCCTACGATGTCTATGGCTGTTTGGTATACATATGCTTAAAATTATGAAATTAGCTCGTGAAGTGTTTGCTTTGCAAATGTGCAAGTTCGTGTTATTTTGTGTACAATGTTTTGTCATGTTTTAAAGTGTTCTCTAGCCACGAATAGCTTCCATTTAAGGAACTGATCATTAGGCGTGGAGCAAGCAATTTGTGGCGTGCCTATGAGTACTATGCTCAGCTTGCAGTGTGCCAGAAAGAAAACAAAGAGCAAGAGAGTAACAATGTTGACTGATAGACTTGACAATAGCCAGATTACATGAGCGAACGATATGTGGGGCCCGTAGTGCTTCTCCCATTCCTTGTTCACTTAGTGCAATGACACTCTCTTCGAGACTAATATTGTTTGACTGTTTTCTTTATTTCTGATACGCTTATTCATACAACCTTTTAAGAAGTCAAAATAAAAACTTAGAGGAAAAAGCATGAATAGCCCTCACTTACCATAGGGTTTAAAACTGTGTCAGACACAGCGCAATTGATTAGTACCTTAACTCAAGAACAGGAAAAATTCCGTCTTGCAGATGCACAGCCCTCTAAGTTTTTCGCCTAAATTCGCGAGCGCTGACTGCCCTGTCTAAACGGCCTTTAACAGAGCACAGGGGCAAAAAGAACAAGAATACATGCACGTCTGCGATAAACACTCCTGTGGATGACTATTTTCCGAATAGCATATCATCGGACGCCTGATACAGGCGCTTCCAGACTGTGGTCGATGGTCGCGCATGAGGTTAAAAGATGGGAAACTGTACACAATTGACACTAGAAGCAGACTTTTAAACATGGTATATATGCTGTACTTACAGAAGCTATGTTAGGAACGATGATGAGGTCATGCAGTAAGCTTTTGCGACTGGAAACGCACCGCATGTATTGTATTAAACCTCTTGAAAGAAACAAGATTTTGTGGCACATTATAAAAAATACGAAAAATTGGAAGGTTGTAGCACTCCCTACTTTCATATATATTTTAGTAATGTCAATGCGCTTGCCATTTGGACACTTCTGGCAGCAAGTGGGCAAAATAGAAAGCTTCAAGTGCGCGAACTGCTTCAGAGAAAAAGCAGTCATCCCTCTGCACACACACAAAATAATGTTGTTCTTCTCAGTATATATAAAAAAGCACTCTTCGAGATTGCATATAAACATTAGTAGCTGGGCCTGTGTGTAGTATCTGTGTGTTCTTGACAATGTTAGCCTCCCCATTATGTACTAAAGGTAAGGCACAAAACACTTCTCCTCCTGGTAGTTCATTGTCTCTTGTCTCCTCCTGGCGTAAGGGCACTTAATCTCAAGAAGACACGTGTCCTCTCCTATTCAGAAAAGGCCGTCTGGACATCCCGACAGCCAGGGCTGGACGCGATGAACCAGAAGTCCTGCCTGAAATGTACCAATCTTTTTTTACCTTAAAGCATAAAAATTGCCCACATGCGCAAGTGACAGTAACCTGTGGCTTTTTAATTATTATTACCTCATATACGTTTGTGTTGGTTTTGTTTCCAAACTCTTGCCTAACTATTGGTTCTGTTTTCGTGCTTAAAAATTAAGAGACTGTTGCGCATCTTGAAATACAATATGGGATAAGTGCATACCATATGCCATGGCTGACGAGAAAAATTTAGGAACATAGATTATAGTGAAATGCAAACCAATTCCCGGGGGTTTTTCTGCTTCTGAGAATATTGTGCGCCGTGGAGCTGCTAATGCAAAAACGCCTTTCTTGATGCCGCCTGTAGGGCAAGATTCATGTACGAACAGCTAAACTATGAACAAGTATTTTGGATTTAGAAAATAGGTTGAAAGTAAAGGGCTCGTTTCCTTTGCTAAATTGAATAGTACCGAGAAATAACAGGTGATGATATAATTGAAGGTATAGGGGATGTCAATAATATTATTTGTAGAGTAAATGAGAAGAAAGAAAAGTCAACGAAAAAATAATGAATTCGTAGCACTCACCTTGAGTTGTCTGACTGACCTTTCGTTGCTGCACTAAGAAGAAAAGTGTCGCCACACACATCGTTTTCATTATAGATTAAAGCTTCTTTGTGGCTTAGGTAACGATCATCGTACTTTCTTCTGAGTATTAAGCTTGGCTATGTTCGCACAACAGCTAAGGCGTGAAGTCTCTGTGGTGGTCTTTTTAAAAGGCCCTTAAGGATTGAAATGTCGTCTTCAATGGCAGCACAGTTTACAACATTGTTATCTTGCGTCGCAGTGGAGGCATCTTTTTCAACTTCCTGAATCTTTCTTCAAGATTGTGTTTGTTGCCCATTACAGGTCAGGAAAGTACTTCAGAAGAAATTCAGGCTCATGTTTCACTGGCTCTCTGCCAGTGACAAATGGGTGTGTGTTTTTTTGAAAATGAAATCGGGAATGTTTGCTAAAAGGCATGTTGCTGAAAAAGGTGATATCTAAACATTAATAAACAAGATTACAGCAAAATTCTATCAACTTCTTACTCATAATGGGAGAGGAGGATGTGGTTAGTTAAAAAGAAGGAAACACCTGTTAGCCGCATCTGAAAGAGCAGCGAGGTGAGTAGGGTGTGTCGAAAGGAGATGGCCAGTCACGCTTCTTCAGTCCGGCTGTGAGGAGATAAGTTGAACGAAGTTGTGCCGGCAGGGGTGCGACCTCTGAGTGTTTCATGCGTTCACGTGCTTCTGTAAACCCATCGTGCGCTAACTTACCGCCGAAAAGTTCGTGAATGGGCGCCCTGTCACTCGAACGTGACTTTTTTCACGGCATTCTCCACCTCTGCGGTTGAAATGTGCATGGCGCTTCCTCTTTTCTGTTCATATAAACGGCAACGGCAGCGCAATGCTTGCAGTTGCCAGCCATGCCGTACCTGCAGTCGCATGAGCCTTCGAGTACATTGCACTCGGCCTTTCGGGGCTGTAATCACAAAAACGCAAAACAACTGCATAGCTGATCACGAAATCAGAATAATTACCCAAGATTGCATACAGAGCGAATACACTTATTCACTTAAGACGTATAATATACCCCTTAGTGCATACAGTGAAGAACAAAGTATTAAACGCCACTGTCAGTGAGGTTTAGGTACTTTATGTACATTACTTTTTGGCACGGCAATTCGCGCCCGCGGGTCATTAGAAATATATCGCTTATGCATGACTTTTTTCGCATTGATCGAACAGCAAGTCAAGCCTTCAATGCAGGGTGATATATGGGCTACCTTTTGATAGTTTTGACGATCGCAATATAACCACAGAACACTATTATACTTCGATGTTTTGACAACAAGATCAACGCTCACGAATAGCACCGAATTCAATTCACCTAGACGTGAAAGGGAAAACGACAAATGTTATGTATATGATTGAAACGCAAGCATTTTTATTTTTATTTATTCACATACTGCAGCCCATTAAGGGCTATGGCAGGAGTGGGTGAAAAAAAAACAGAGCAGAGAATTACAAAAGTACCACTTCCGGGAACACACTACAAAATAACACACGAACAAAATACAATATACATGGCAATTGTATTCAGTACAAAAATAAACATCCAATAAATGGGCACTGCGGGGCGTACATATTAATAGAACAAGGCAAGGAACTATTGGTTAGATACGACTTCTAAGAGAAGGCAGGAATTGATTTATCGGTGCAATCCTAATCTCACCCGGCAGTAAATTCCATTGTTCTATGGTTCTAGGAAAAAAGCTAAGTTTGAATAGATTGGTGTGTGCGTGAAAAGGGGTGAGGTTTAGGGCATGATTATTTCGAGTAACGGTTGGCATAGCATACGTAAGATAGCTGTTATCGGAGAGACGGTTAACTGAGTGAACGATGGCATGCAAGAATTTGAGCGACTCGATATCTCGTTGAGTAGAGAGTGAGGTTAGATTTAAAGTGGTAATGGCGGATGTAGGCGAAAAATGGTGGTCATAGCGTCGACAAATGAAACGGATTGCTTTTTTTTTGCACAGATTCAATTTGTTTTATTTCTCTTTTTTTGTACGGACACCAAACAATAGAGGCATAATCAAGAACGGGACGAATTAGTGTTTTGTACATTAGTAATTTAGTCTCATATGGGGAAGTTCTGAGGGTACGTCTTAGGTAGCCTAGTTTTTTAAGAGATTTGGTGCAGACTGAATTGATATGTTTAGACCAGGAGAGGTTAGTGGTGAAAATCACGCCAAGGTATTTATAGTCTGAAACCCTTTGGAGCATTAGGTCATTGAAAGAGTAATTGAAAACGGAAGTCTGCGTTTTGGTAGTAAACGACATCGAGACAGTTTTACGGAAATTAATATTCATTTGCCATGTGTCACACCAAGAGCAAAAGGCACTGAACGAATCATTGAGAAGATAGTGATCTTGAACGGAGTTAATGGTGTTATATAGAACGCAGTCATCGGCGTAGAGACGTAATTTACAGGCAATAGATTTTGGTAAGTCAATAATAAAAATCAAAAATAATAAAGGACCAAGAACGAATCCTTGTGGTCCTCTGATGTGACTTTGATTAGAGATGAATTGCCAGAGTTTAAGCTAACGTATTGGGAGTGATTAAGCAGAAAATTGGCAATTAGGTTTACTAGACTGGAATTTTTTATGATGGCTTCAAGTTTTTTGAGCAACTTAGAATGCGAAACAGTGTCGAAAGCTTTTGCGAAATCAATGAATATTACGTCGACCTGATGGCCGCAGTGAAGACTTGCAGAAATGTCATGAGTAAATTCTGTCCATTGGGTTAAAGTGCTGAATCCCCTACGAAAGCCATGCTGCAGATTAGATAAGACGTTGTTAGTCTCAAGAAAGTCGATTATATGTTTATAAATGATGTGCTCCAACAGCTTGCCGGAATGTGGTGTCAGCGAGATGGGACAATAGTTTGGAAAAAGGTGCTTATCGCCAGACTTATAAATCGGCCGAACCTTGGCCAGTTTCCAGGGACTAGGAAAAACACCCGAGGATAAACATTTCTGAAATATGATGGTAAGGTAACGAGATGTCCATAATGCATACCGAATTAAAAAAGAGTTTGGAATACCATCGGGACCGTCTCCCTTTTTTGCATCTAGATTCAGAATAAGATTCAACACACCAGCATGACTGATAGTTAGGTCAGTAATTGAGCCTATATCGGAAGGGGAGAGAAAGGCAGGGGCAACATGATTATCGACGGAAAATACAGAGTGGAAGTAAGTATTAAACGCATGGGAGATTTTCTGGTCATCAGTAATAGTTTCACCGTTAATCAAGAATGAGGAGGAAGAGCAGCTACTAGGCAGAACTGATGTCCAGAATTAGCAAGGATTACTTTTGAGTAAAGAGTGTAATTGTGTGCCGAAGAAAAAATCCTTAGCAGAAGCCATCATTTCGGCAAGCTGTTTTTTTAGCTTTCAGGAACTCATTCGTGCTATTGTACATCAAGGTTCATTCCACGCCTCAGCCTGCGTACACGACGAGATAGGTGAAGAATATCTCTATTCATCCAAGGAATTTTCTTATTCGTTTTTTTAGTTTTCATTGGAACAAAGCGATGAATGCACGATTTTACAATGTTTTCAAGTATGACACAAGAGTATCTACGTCACAGTTGCTGCTCATGAATTCGAACAGAGAAAAAGCATCAGCAAGGCCATCCAAGATCGAAGTATCGTTAGCACGATTAAAATCCGGGAATGTTGTGAACGAATATAAGGTTTTAAACACAGGATAAGACAGGGTCACGATGACCGCCTTATGATCCGATAAACCTTCGGTAGTTTCACATATAAATCCAGCTTCCGCAATGTTAGAGCTTACAAACACTAGGTCGAGAAGTGCGTCCAGTCGAGTTGCATCACTAACCAACTGCACCAAGTCATGCGACAACGAAAAATCGATTAGCTTTCGGTTGAGGCCAGGTTCTCGACCGAAAGGTGTCAGAGAAGGTGAATGAATTCCGGGTGCATTGAAATCACCCATACAGATAATATTAGATGAACCAATATTGTGGTTATAAATATAACTATTGAGATTGCGTATATGATCGACGGAGGTGCCAGGTGGGCGGTAGCAGACACCAACCATGAGATGATGCTTGTTTAAGTAAAGCTTGCACCACACCGATTCAACATCTAGAGGCACAGGCAAAACAGAGAACGTCAAGTCCGACCGAAAGAGTAAAGCAACTCCCCCGCCTTTGCCGCTCCGTCGATCACAACGAACTAGGGCGTACCCGGGTGGAGTTATCTCAGAGTCATAAACGCCTTCATGTAGCCAAGATTCAGTTACACCTACTATGTGCGGGGAAAACGTGGATACCAGAGAGACAAAGCTAGAAAATTTATTCAGTAGACTTGCATTGACATTCAAAATTATTAGGTCATTACATGGATATTGGGGTAGTCATGGAGGAGATGAAGATTCAGCGGTGGGAGCAGGGTGACGTGAAGATCTACGAGAGGGTACTTTAAAAAGCGTGTTAGAAGTTGCATCTAAGGTATACTGAATGTCATCAATAAAAAGTTTATTGAAGCGCAAACGTACTTTAGACCCGCTGTCACGAAATGAAGCAGAAGCACCCCAGAGCTTTCTCCGGACAGAGCGCACACTTTGGGAATAATCTTCCGTATTCTAGCAGTCGGATTCTTTTAACTTTGAGACGTTCTTCATCACTTTTATTTTATCGCTGAAGTCTAGAAGCCTCACAATGACGGGCCGAACATGGCTGACTCGGGACCGCCCTAGCCTATGACAACGTTCAATGAGAGGACAGTCTATGAGCAAGGTGTCACTGAATACTTGTGATACCCCAGCGCGGAGACTTTCACTATTTTCGTCGTCCTCTTCTTTCAAACCATGCAAGATTAAGTTGTTGTGTCTCATGCGATTTTCAAGATCATCATTTTTTGATCTCAGTTCATTAACCGTCTGTGACAAGGCCGTAAATTCACTGTTGAAGGGTACCGATGAAACAGGCGGTGCTGAGACAGCATGGGAAGACTCAAGGGCCGAAACACGCGAATCCAGAGAATACAATCTAGCGTTGACGGTATGGTGAAAATTTTTGATGTCAAGGATATCTTTGGCCATTTGACTTTGACCGTCGAGGATTTTAGAAAGGAGTTGCTCCACAGACGAGTTACCATCCATCAAAACAGTGCCTGCCTCATTCTTAGAACGTGTCGTGGGCCCCTGAGCACTCCCATCATTACTGCTTCCTTTAGCGGCAGAAGGTTTAGGGGGGCCAGGATTTAGTTCAACATCGCCGCTCAAGAGAAGGCGACGTAAACTATATACGGCGTGAGAACAAACACTGACAAAATTGTGTGGGCAGGGCAGCAGCAGCAAACACCGATAGTCAGAGTGAAAACACTTGGTAAGATCAAGATAACATACCTGCAGAATAAAAACGAAGCGGTTAGACATACTGCCGGCACTGCCACTGCCCAGCCCACTGACGACGGAGACCAGGTCCAGGGGTTTTATACTTTTCTTTGATGACGTAACAGAATGATGACAGTCGATGATTGGCTGGTCGAGGTGGTCTTGCACATGTAGCACTCCGGTCAAACAGCTGTAGGGCACGCCACGCAAGGCACACGCACGCGTGACAGAGCAGTCCATATGGTAACGGTTGATGCTGGGCGTTAGGTTCCCAAAGAACGATAACGCAGCGGTGGTCGGCACATGCTCACAGCAGGTTGTTACACAGGAGTGTTGATTCAGGGTCGTCAGGAATTTGAAAACCTGCAGAATAAAAAAATTACGGCATATTCACGGGGTGAATGATGATGAATGGGCAAAGCTCCGGAGGGATTCATCGGTAAACTGTAAATCTTCCGTGTAATTCGCCCAGTCGATCATCATGTAAAGACGTGAGAAACGCTGTGTGTGTATATACACAAATCAACTTTTATTTGTTCTTAGACGATGGATGGCTTGCGATGTCCCTTGCCTCGCGCGCTCGCACATCGGGATTCTGTCTGCGAGCGCGCGCTGCTGCCGCCTTGCGCTCTCTCCGCTGTGCAGCCTTATCCATCCGGCGACTCCGAGCGCGCGCCAACAGCGAACGGATTTTATTACAACGCTCCCCCTAGCGTACGTCGCCGCACTAAATCGAACGATTGCCTTCAACCAATGACACGCGCCATATGTGACATCATTTCTATTTTATAAGATCTCGCGTCTTTCATCAACTACAAGTGCCGCTTTCTAGTTTATAACATCTTGCATCTTTTCATCATCAGCTACAAGTACCACCATCTAGTAAACACTACAAGAACTAAACGAGAGGTGGCTACATACAGGAGACGGTACCGCCATCTAGTGAACACTGCAAGAACTAAACTAGAGGTGGCTACATACAGGGGACGGTACCGCCATCTAGTGAACACTGCAAGAACTAAACTAGAGGTTGCTACATACAGGCTACAGGGGACGCACAGCCCACGCCCTAAGGAGCTTCGCCCCTAAAACGAAGCGGTTAGGCATACTGCCGGCACTGCCGCTGCCCAGCCTACTGACGACGGAGACCAGGTCCAGGGGTTTTATACTTTTCTTTGATGACGTAACAGAATGATGACAGTCGATGATTGGCTGGTCGAGGTGGTCTTGCACATGTAGCACTCCGGTCAAACAGCTGTAGGGCACGCCACGGAAGGCACATGCACGCGTGACAGAGCAGTCCATATGGTAACGGTTGATGCTGTGCGTGAAGTTCCCAAAGAACGATAACGCAGCGGTGGTCGGCACATGCTCACAGCATGTTGTTACACAGGAGTGTTGATTCAGGGTCGTCAGGAATTTGAAAACCTGCAGAATAAAAACGAAGCTGTTAGGCATACTGCCGGCACTGCCGCTGCCCAGCCCACAGCACTCCGGTAAGTAGAGCATGCTCTACTTACCAGCAAAGAGACGATGTACAGCTGTTTCCCTTGCTGAGAATGACATCTTGCCCGTACAACAAGGCCGTCAGTCTCCTTCACGTCATAAACGCGTCTTGTAGCGTACAACTTCTCGCCTTTCAGTAGCACAGATGGACGAAAATACTGTTCCAAGCGCTGCACAGGTTTGAAGCCGCAAAGAACTATTGTGGGCATATCGCAGTATCCAAAACTACGCAGCCAGCTGCATTCGAATACGCCGCCTCAGCGTGCAGAGCCGCTACGAAGCCGACTCGCTGTTTCGAATTTGTGCCGCACGTTAGCGCTAGTAGTACGGCTTCCTAGCACCGCCTCTTCACTGAACAGAGCCTATGTATAGCACAGCAGTTGAGACAGACGAGACAGGTTTTCTCTGCAGAATAGATGATGCAAGCGGACTTCTCGAAAGTGAGCGCTGGCCAACGTGCAAAGAGAAAAAGACGCCGCTAAAGCAGGAGGCAAGCTAAGGGTGTAAAGCCACCCAGAAAAACAAGAACCGCCAAACGCCAAACAACGCAACGAAAACATCGTTTTCGTTTTGTGTCATTGTCCCCATGCTCCAAACCACCCAAAGGGTAGATGGGTAAGATAGGCAATAGTTCTTGCAGCTCGGAGGAACCAACTCTCACCACTGTATTCTTGTGTTCGAGGAACGGAATGCACGGGAAAGGAGCGCATTATGGCTGGACGACGCGACATGGTTGAGAGACCGATTTTCGTAGAACGCGGTGTCAACAATGGCGTGCTACCAAGGGGTAGTCTGGCTAGACACAGCCGTAGTTCTAGCGACTGTCCTGTGTATCGTTTTCCCTAGTTTGTATAAACGGCTACGAAAGGTCGACCGCCTCGAGCGCGGGTCAAAGTTAGGAGTTACGCTTCGTCAGGTGAGCACCACCAAATGACAAGTTTTTGAGAAACAGCGCTCATATATTTTTACTTTGTTTGTGGAGTTGCTCATAAGTTTAGTGGAATCCCTTATATACAGCGTTTTCGAGCGTTTTGTTTGTATTTGTTTTTGTTTGGGATGACTCACTTTTTAAGTTTATTGTTGGACTCGTAGTTCAAGGAGCTTTGTGTCACACACCTAATGGATTTACGTTTGCGAATAGGTAGGTGTCTTTGAAAGACTCCGGTCGAGTTACTTCTGTGTTCGAGGCCTATCACGGCACACATTTGTACTAAATATGATGGGGTGTTCTTGAAAGCTTCTTTTGTTTACCAGTGAAACTGCGCTCAAACGACCATCCAGATTTCTTATTCGTTTTCCTTTGTTTTCAAAACGCCTCAATAAGTGACTTTTCTATACCGCTTAGAGCGTGTATGGTTGAATATATGTGTCATCAAAGAATACTTACGTGCCTTAGCATTGAACTGTGCACTATTTTTGTCATTTCATTTTCGTATATGTGTGGCCATGGCCTAGTGCACGAGATACGACTTTCGTCATGGCGTGACAGTGAAGTGCGGTGCGTCTTGCATTCTGTGTGGTGTCGCCCACGTCGGTGAAATTGTGCGCGAAAAAAAAGAAAGCGCATTGGTGGACGACTGAAATACAAATAAATCTTTACCAGTGCACGTCTGTGATTTCCATAAAGATTACGCACCACTACTCTTGAGGAGGGGGCTGTATCACAAACGACTGCAATTTTCGTTTCACCCGCGCGCCCCATCGTCCAAGGAAGGGCGCTTTTGTGTTAGGAAGATGACATCCGGCGACTAACGACGCAGCATCGGCGCCGCCGCGTGTTTCCTACACCTATACGGCAAGGAGAGACATGTGTTTGAGGAAAAAGAAAGAACCTCGAATGGGGATGGGACGTCCCGAAGAGTTTTGACTGCTTCGAAATCGGCAGTCGACGTGCAACCAGCAAGAAGTGCGGCCGTCGGTGTCGTGAGTATTGCGTCGGCGATGAGCCTAGAGTGGCCCGTGCGTGGTGTTGAGACGGCTGCATTACCGGGCACCCGCGTGTCTACCAAGCTGGCGAGATCTTAAGTGGCACCCCGTCAACTCCCCTATGTGTACCAAGAGCTGGCCTGGTCTGTATGTAACTTTTTATTGTGATTTTTTTCAAGTGTTATTTGATTATATATACGCAGCTTTTGAATCTGTGTAGTTGTGTGCGCTGCGACGCACGTAGACGTTCAGAAGCCCGCGCATGATCATTGTTGCGTAATTATTTTCTTGTATCTGTTTTTGATGTCCGTTATGTTGTTTTTTTATTAACATTCACGTTGTGTTTACTTCTACCTTCTCTAGCATTCTTTTAGAACACAGTTTGTTTGTATCTGTTTCTTTTCTGTTTCCTCTGTAATTTTCGTAATCTCCTTGCAATCGCCCTTGCTTTAATTAAATGCTTGTTTTTGTTTAAGCAAATGACCGTGTCTGCTCTATAAGTACGTCTGTGAGGCCTATACATCACCACACGTGCAACCCCGCACTGGTCAACCAACCTGCAAATAAATCCGAGATGTGCCATTTCGAGACCTTTCAGGTGTCGCAGGCCGAAGCGTAAAGCGGAAGCTTGTGAGTCTGCCGCACGTCGATGTTCGATCGGCGGGGCCTCCCTGAAGTGTGGGACAATGACGAACTTGATCATCGTGGTCACTCTTTTTTTTTCTCTTTCCTACTACGCCTGATGAAGTAATAAGCACTATTGTTAGTATAAAACCCTCCAGCGCAGGTATTCACAGCATTTGTGCTAATCAAGTAAAGATAATTGCCCATGTTATTCCAGATGTGCTCACCTACATAATCAACGTAATTTTTTAACCTGGTATATTTTCCTATGACTTGAGAGTTAGTAAGATTGTTCCAGTATTTAAAAAAAGTGACAGATGCTCAATTCTTAATTACAGGCCAATACCCATTTTTTCATATTTTAGCGAAGCAATTGAAAAGCTCATCCAGCTTCGTCTGTCCAGCTACCTCACGACGTTTCACCTATTGCATCCGAAAAATTTTGCGTTTAGACAAGTATGTTCGACTAACTTAGCCCTCATTTAGTTTACAGGAAATCGAAACTAGAAATAAACAAGGGTAACTCCCTTGGTTCTGTTTTTTCAAAATTTTACTATAGCGTTTGATACGCTTAATCATGATAGTTTCTTCACTAAACTATCATCTATTGCATTGCAGGCAATTCTCCTAATCTTTTGCTCAGTTACCGGACCGATGGAGAGCAATTAGTATCCATCTCCTGCATCTGTTCTACTAAAACGGTAATTAATATCCGTGTTCCACAAGGCTCCATTTGGGGCCCACTATTATTTTTACTCTACATAATGACCTTCCTCAAAGTCTAACCTCGTCAACTGAATGCATTTTATATGCTGATGACACAACTCTCTTACTTCGAAGTAATTCATTAGGCCACCTGATACAAACCCTTAATGTTTAACTGCTTAACGTTAGTGCAGGGTGTACAAAAAATAAGCTTTTATAAATCATTCTAAAACTAAGCTTTTAATTTTTGCTTCCAGGTCAATAAATAACTCCATATTCCACCACTTTTTATCAACTCGTGGCCCATCCACATATCAGATCACTGTTCTTTCCTTGGTATAGACCCTTTTCATAAATACGCTACCTGACGGTTGGCCTTTCATCAGTTTCGCTTCGCAAAGGAGTGTGGGATAGCTAGCGCCATCATGAGGGCATAGAAAGCGAGCTGTGAAATGCATGAGTGCTGTGATGTTTGTGCTGGCGGCTAGTTTTCCGTATCATCCGCTGCAATCACAACGCTTTCTAACTTGAACGAGCTCCTAGTACTCTCCTATAATCTTTCTGAGCTGCTTCCACTGCACAACGAGCAAATTTTTGGTACTCTTCAATGGGTAGAACGATTAGTTTGGCTTATTAAGACTGAAAATGCATAGATCCAGCCTGCAACAGACTCTCATCGGCCGCCCTCCCGACGTGGTCTACATACTGCTAGACCGCAAGAGGTGCCGGTGTGTGCTGCAAGAAACGCGCGTCAGTGTCGCTGAAACACGCAGCCTGCATCGTCTGCTGTGGTGCCCTCACAAAGGCAGCAGAGTGTAGTTCGCGTCTGCGGCGCTAGGGGTGCCCTTATTCGAAAAGGGTCTATTCAGTGGGATTCCCGGTTAAAATTTAACTTACATAGTCAAAAACTACAGTGGAAAACTTCTTTTGGTATTTAAGTACTAATAAAAGCCAGATAATAATTTAATTTCACAACTTTGATGACTTTATATTATGCATTCGTTCACACTCATCTTAACTATTGCTTTGCTTTGTGGGGCCAAACATATCGTTGTCATCTTTCTTCTCTCCAGCATGTACAAAATCAAGCCATTCGCATTATCACCTGTAGCTGCCGACACTCTAATAATTCATATCTGTACAGGTATCTATATTGACAACCTGAACAAAGTCAATGTCTACCCATTCGCTTGTCAAGTAGTTAGGCACTCCAGCGTTCTAAAATTTCTTCTCATTCCAGGCCTTCCCAATTCTAAAATTACCCGTTTCTTCTCAAATAACAGCTTTTTACTTCCGAAGGTGTGATCTATGGTTCTCGAAGACAAGCTTTTTTTAATCAAACTCTTGAATATATTGCCATATAATATTAATGTGCATTTTCTGTTTTGTCATTCAAGCACCAGCTTAGAAACCTAATGTTTAATGAATAGTATTCTTTATTCAATGTTCTTCAAAGACAAGTATATTCAGGTCATTGTGATTATTGTCTCCATTTATTCTACTACAGTGCCTTCTCCCGATATATTTGTGTATTAAATTACATACCTCTTAGAGTCGCCTTTGTTTAGATTGATATACGCTTTACTATCAATATTATGCTGCATGCGTTTTGCTATGAAGTAGTATTTTTTTAAACAATTATTAGGTCCCCCTACAGCGTTTACACTATAGATCCTTTTCCTGTAATATATGTCTATATTCTGTATATGTTTTGAATACTGGATAAACATAAAACTTCAATGAATGGTCAAAAAATGTAGCTGCGGCAGCTTGATGCTTTGGATAGCCTTGTCTTCCCGGAAGACAGCGAGGAGTGACTGCTCCAAGGTAGCATTTTACGAATCACCACCAGTGGCTCACTACCCCACCCGTCATCGAACATGGTCGAACCACGTTCATCAAAAACGGAAGCCAGCAATAGAAGACAGTGAGTTACTTCGGCGTCATTTTTTTC